TCGTTTCCGGGCGGTTTAAGGTGCTGGTAATAGTGGCACCGAGGTATTTAAGGCTGTTTTCGAGCTGGAATGTAAACGAGCCTATTTTTTTGGGCCCGGTGTTGTGTAGTCTAGTCGGGAATTTGGGGTTACGGATTAGTATTTTGTTTTTTTGTTCGTTGAGTTTTAGACCGTTTGCGTTCATATGTTTGGTAAGAACCTCGGTGAATATTACGATTTCTGTTAGGTTGTTCGCGATGAGGAGTAGGTCGTCCGCAAAAGCGAGCACGGTGGGCAGTTCAAAGTCAGTCAAGTCATTGTCTAGTTGTAGACCCGGTATTTCAGCTGTCGTCTGTTTAAGGATGCGGTGGAGCGCTAGTGTGAATAGTCGCGGTGATAAGGGGCATCCTTGTTTTACTCCTTTTGTTTTTCGGTATATATATATATATAACTATAGTTTTGTGGTCTGACCGAACCATTGTACGCACGTGTATTCTTTCAAGCAGGCCGATTCAATTCGTTCTATCAGCCATTGAGGGGTGTTCACTGCGTTTAAGGCTTCTATGATTGCTGTGTGTTTAATTTTGTCGAAAGCTTTTTCTATGTCATAGGTTACAACATATATCTTTTTCCCTCTACGCCATGTTTCTTCCATTATTCGTCTGGCGCTGAATATGTGGTCGTGCGTGGACCTGTTCGCTATAAATCCTGCCTGATAGTACGGGATGGGTTCCACTAGTTCGTCCAAGGCTTTTAATATGTACCGAGCATATATTTTGTAGCCTACACTACATAGTGTAATTTTTCTGTAGTCCGATGTGTTTTTCGCGTTGCGAATCTTTGGGATGGGAATTTGTTTAGTGTATAGCAAATCCCGAGGTACTTCGTTTTTTTTTCAAATATGTGCCAGTAGGTTTGTTAGTAAGTCGATTAACTCTTCCGGGGCCTCCTTAAGTAGCTCGTTTTGTAAAAGGTCAATGCCCGGGGCGGAGTTTGAGCGTAGATTTTGCACCGTCTGTGTGGTAAAGCTTCGCTCTGGGGGGCTGGTTAGGGGTGTGTGGTCTGATGCTTGGCTATTAAGTATGTGAGGAGCGTTGACGTCTATTTCCCCTTGCCCGAGTTCCTTTTCCCAGGTAGCGAGGGGGATGTATGTAGTATGCGCTTGGTTACGTGTCCGTCTGAATTGTTTGATAAATTTGTATGTTTGTGAGATTCTTTTAGCGGGCTCGTAGTCGTTTAAGTTGTTAAAAAAGTTGTAGCATTTGGCAAGTTTGTTTTCGCGTAGTGCAATGTTTTTTTCTGCTATCGCGTTGCGTTTTGTTTGGGCCTTTTGTGTGGTCGGGTTTCGTCTGTGTTGTTCCGACGCCTTTTTTGTCTTGTCTAGTAATTTTTTGATGTTACTGGGGAGCGGTTCTGATGGTTTATTAAGAGTGAGGTTGGCCGCTAACTGTAGACTTTCTTTAATGATTGTCCATGTCTCTGATACGTTATTAAGGTCGGGATTGTGTGTTAGTAGTGTCTCTTTTACCGCGTTTTTGTAGTTAAGATGGTCTTTTAAACGCTCAGTATACCATTTTGTCGGTTTTATTGTGGGGCACTGATAGTCTTTATCGTTTATGGCTGGCGTCTGTATCAGGTCGCAATCAAGTAATTTATGATCTGTCTTTATGTCAAGTGGCCAGGTAGATTTGCAGGGTTTGTATAGAAACCCGATAGTGCTGTTTCGAAGCATGTGATCAATTTGCGATTCGGATGATTTATTTCACCATGTTGTTAGTATTGACTTGTGTTTTGAAAAGGTATTGTGAATATTTAACTTAAACAGCTGAGCCAGGTTAATAAGCTCTTGCCCATTTTCATTGGTTTCGCTATGTACTAATTGCCTGCCTACCGTGAGTTTATTTTTGTCTGTGTGTAATGTTTTCCCTAGATGTGCGTTGAAGTCCCCTATAACTATCATTGCCTCTTTTTTGTTGTTTATGTCTATTTGTTTTGTTAAATCGCTGTATGTCTTCAAGTTCAAGTATCCGACGGAATGTGTGTGGATATTACGCAAAGTCTCTTTTTATTACAGGCTAGGACTATTGTAGCGATGCTGTCTGAGATGGGGTAGAATTTTGTCGTTTGGAGGGCCTTAGATCGTCTTAGGAGTATCGCTACTCCCTGTCGAGTCGAATTGTTTTGTCCTCCGCTTAAGTACCAATCGTACGTGTTTGTTTTTGCGCGGCCGCTTGTCATGATTGTTTCTTGTAGTGCTATTATGTCTAGGTTTAGTTGAGATAGTGTGTCGTCAATTATTTCTCTCTTTTCTGCTTGCCTACAGCCCCTTATGTTTAGTGTCCCTATTTTTATCTTGCGTTGTTGTGTACTACTGTCTAACCTTGTCGCCCCGTTTCCGGTCGATTGTGTTTGGGTGTATTCCCCGTTGCCGCAGGCTCTTATATTGGTTATTTTTCCTGCCTCTGTTAGGCAGGACACCGATGCTTGTGTCCATGTTGGCCAGATATGTACTATACTATCGTAGTGATTGTTCTGCCTAGTCTGTAACAAATTGCGATTGACCGGTTGCTATTGTTATGTCTGAAGGATATCTTGTCAGTACGCCCCTGTTCGTGATGTATTTCGATTGCGACGTTAAATATGTCCGATGCTGCTATTATTATTTCCAAACCCAACCAGAAGCTGTTTTGTGCGTGGTCCTTTAGGTACGCCTCTGTTTTACGTTCCCAGTCGTTAATATGCGCGTAGCGGTGGGGTTGGTCAAGGATCGCATCCTGTAAGTATGGGCTGTATGTCTCAATATGTGTTCTTAAGTGGTTATTTAGTCTTTGTCTTAATGCGTATGTACTTCCTATTGTTGACCTAGTCAGGCTATTGTCTAGTTGATGGGCCAAGCTGGCCACTAAGCAATTTCCGTCGGATGGAATTTTAATTATTCCCACCGAATGATCAATCGTGTTTACTATTTCCATGTTTGTTATGGTTTGTGTTTATTTATTTATTTATGGTTTGGCGTTTATTTATGGGATTAGTCGAGTGTTTATTTGGGGATGGAGCTAATGTCTTATCTGACTTTTCTGTTTTGTTTATGTAATGATTTATGTGTTGTCTGTCTCAATAGGAATGTTTATTTTTTGGTGCCAGCTGGGGATCTTGGAATTTACTTTTCGATGTATAATACGTTTTACTTTAGATTTTATGGAATAAAATGGTTTTGTTAATAAGACATGCAATTAGAAAAATTACTTAGCTTGATTATTAGGCTATAATCCTGATGCTTTGTCTTTCACGGGCTGTCCGTTGTTTCTTGACCTCGCCTGCAGGTTTTTGACACGCTTTGGTTGTGAGAATCCCTGCTGACCAGGTGGGCCGGTTGGCTTAACGTTGTGGCCTAGCCTTAATTACTTATTCAATTGCACTCTTTTACGGCCCGCACTTTTCGCACTTGTTGCACTTTTTGCACTTTTCGCACTTGTTTGTTTATTTATTTATTTATTTATTACCGATATTTCCGAATACTTTTTTTGGAACTTTACTACGTTTGTCTCGTATACGCTGCTTAGGAAAGGTATCGTTAACTATCTTGACCCGTCCTTCCACTTCAAGTGTCAAGATCCAACTGAATTTTTAAAGTTTCGTATTTTATTAAAAATGTATAAGATATATTATACGTGTGGATAGGTTTGTAAGGGCAGGCAAAGAATTTCTTGATAAGGGGGTAAAATAAAAATAAAATAATTTTATAGGGTTTTGTTTAGGCACATATTTTGGGATGGGCCCAGTGAATTTTTAAAATTTCCCTAATTTATAAAAAATTATTTGTAATATTTTACATGTGGATAGTTTGTAAGGGTAGGCAAAGAATTTCATGATACTGGGGTAAAAGTTAACATATAAATAAAACAATTTCAGGGGGGTTTACAAAAAAATATACAAAAGTGTTCTTTTAGTTCCACCCTTACTTCTTAACAAGTCCCATAAGCCAACTGAATGGCTTGTGCGGGTTAGGGATAGGAACGGACCGCGGGCTTAAACAATAGGACAAACACAAATAAACAGCCATACCCCTGGTGGGATTCGAACCCACGACCTCCGGCTTGTAGTCAGCAGCACTAACCACTAGACCACCGTCGGCGAGATGTTTAGGCACATCTTTTGAAATGAGCACAGGGAACTTTTAAAGTTTTTGTATTTTATTATAAATTTATAAGTTATATTACAGTTATGTATAGGGAGCAATTAAAGAATTTTCTTGATAATAGGCAAAAGTTAACATATAAATAAAACATTTTCAGGGGGTTTTGTTTAGGCGCATCTTTTGGGGTGGGCACAGGAAATTTTTAAAATTTGCATATTTAAAAAAAAATTAAAGCAAACTTTAAAAATTCACTGTGCCCACCCCAAAAGATGGGGCTAAACAAAACTCCCTGAAATTATTTTATTTATATGTTTTCTTTTGCCCCTATTATCACGAAATTCTTTGCCTGGCCTTGCAAATAAATAATAAATTTTTGTTGAAAAGGGATTAAATTAAAACTAAACACCTTTTTATAAATAATTAAACCTCTGTGCGCTGCGCACCCTAGCCGCAGACCGCAAACCTGTCTAGGAAATTCGTAGTAGGAATGTGTGGCTGAAAATGTATGGATAACTTCACACAAATGCATTCCAGAATGTCTTTCACATTTTTAAGAGTGTTTTTGACATTCTTAAGAGTGTTTTAGCATTCTAAAAAGTGTTTTAGAATTCTTGAATGTGTTTTTTATATTCTTAGCGTTCTAGGAGGTGTTTTTGAAATTTGTAAAGGTGTTTTAGCATCAAAAAATATGTTTTTTATATTCTTAAGATTATTTTAACAATCTAAAATGTGTTTTTATATTCTTAAAAATGTGTTTTCGAAATATATTAATAAATAATGACTTGACTAACACTACTGGGACAAATACTATTGACTTTTGTACATACTTTCCTTTCCCAACACTTTTATTTCGTAATTTTTGGTTTTTGGTAATTATTTTTAGAACTTCCCCACAACTCTACCAAGGCTAATGACAATGATTTTTCGGAAGAATCATACTTTGGCACGCCTGAAAAAAAACCCTCAAAAATATTGGGGCCGCTACTTGTTTACTCGAACGATAACAAACAACATAAGGTCCTACCAAAAGAAGAAAACCCATTCTATAACAACCACTTTAAATCAGAACAGGATAATGTTTTTGTTACCCCACCTACATTACCTGAGAAAAACCATGTACCATTTAAAATCCAGAAGAACCCAAGCAAAAATCAGTTACAAGTTAATGAAAAGAGTACACCGGAAGAAATATTACAGTTCATACATCAACATCCGGAAATAACTAACTATCCATCCGGTTCTGTACTGGAAATACACAACATACCTTTTGGTAATCCACAAGACCAAAAACCGTCACATTACCAAGATCCTAGATTACAATACCATAATAGACCACAATATCAAGACCAACAATATCAAAAACAATCCCATAATATTCCCATATTGGGAAACCAAAACAACCTCTTGTCCGCTAATTCGCAAGATTTACCTCAGGGGGTCACCCTAGAGCAAATCCTTCAAGAAATTCACAAAAACGTGAACCCAATTCAACAAAAACCCTTTCTTATTGCACAACAAACTGGACTTTCCTTACCACCATCACCACCAAGACAAAACAAGACAGGACAAGGTTGGTCCAATATTCCTTAACCTACCACTATTCATTTACACATTGTTAAATTTGTAGTTAATGGTTTTCCAAGTTACCCCAACATTCCTGGTTTTCCTGGCCATCAAGATGATGTGACTGTGACAACTTTGGAAGCAATAGATGCTCATACAGTCAGGTTGGCGTTCATGGTGCCTCCAGTGATTGTGGGATTGCATGGGAGGGTGGAAGTTAGATATACTCACAAAAAGTAAGCCACATGTCTATTTTTACTTGTCATTTTAGCATGTTATATTATAATATAATATGCTAAAATGACAAGTACTTAAAAATAATTACCAATTGGGTACATTGTATTTTTTCTTTTGTAGCGATGAAGACCTAAACTTGTGGGAATTGCAAGTGTTCGCTCCTCCCAACGATCTTATAGCAACGCCACAATTAGAATTTGATTTGCTAGGCCTTAAACCCAATACTGAGTACAAAATAAAAATCACTATTACTCTCAGGGACCTCCACAATACTCCATCTAGTCGAATCTACAAAATACGCACTCAAAAAGATGTTCAAACCACGACCTTACCCCCAATGATCCCCATAGAGCCCGATCTGGCTATCACAGATATAAACGCTACTTGGGTGACTGTGGTATGGAGAAAGTTTACTGAGTACGAGTTGCAATTTATTGATGGGGTGCAGCTAAGGTTCAAAGAAATCGATGGGAAAATATATGCAGCTACACCATTGATACACAGCTGTTACTAGTTATACACTTGAGAGTCTGAAACCAAACACAAAGTACGAGATCGGTATTTTCTTCATACCTTTCCCAGGACAGCTCACGGAACTTCACGCGGAAAATATGCTGCACTTCACTACAGCCAATGAAATCGATACATACGGCTTTAACGTCACTCTGGAAATATCACAACTTAAATCACAAAGTGTTGAAATAACTTGGAATGGTGTACCCTACCCAGAAGACAAATACGTCAATATATACAGGGCGATTTATCAGAGTGATTCAGGTAAAGAAGACCATAGTACATTCAAAATCGCCAAGAGGGATTCGCCTACAAAAACTATCATTATGGACTTGAAGCCTGGTACTAGGTATAGGCTTTGGTTGGAGGTTTATTTGACCAATGGCAAAATTAAGACCAGCAATGTTCAGGACTTCATAACGAAGCCCAGAGCTTCTTTTAATCTGGCATCATCCTCACATCAAGGTATGTTTAAAAAAATGTAGAAAACATGAGGAGTTTTAGCATTCTAAAATGTGTTGTTGACATTCTCAAGAATGTTTAAGTATTCTTAAACTATTAAAAGTATTTAAGCTATCCAACAATTATCTAAAAGTGATAATGATGAGGTTAACACACCATTCTGACTGGACAATTTTCTTTATTCTTTATTTCTTTATTTTTCTTATTTTACGCTTATTCCGAATATACCCCATGTTGTTGTACCCAAAATAGCTCCAGCTTTTGTTGAACATAAAAGTTATAGGTAATTAAATACAGTAAGTTAGATAATTAAATGATTATCTCTCTCTCTCTCTCTCTCTCTCTCTCTCTCTATTTTTTATCCACAACATTCGGAGTACCATAAGCCTCCCCCTCAGTAATGGAGTTGGTCTGAGCAAATTGTAGGTCTTTTAACCAGTCACCAGTAGATTAAATGATTCTCAAAAATAAATAAAATCTGACATCTGTCAAATGGTTAACCACTCTTTTTACCAATTTTAAATGTTATTATAGTCGTACCTACGATACGTGAGACGTTAACGTTATGAAGCATATGCAATCGTTAAATAAATAAATATTTTTTGTTAGAGTTCCTATTATGTTTTTTGTTATTTTACATTATTTGTAATTTGATATGTGCACTTTTTTAAATAATCTTTTATTTTATTTGTTATTTTCCCAACCAAACATTTTTGTTTTATTAATGTTAATAAAATAATCAAATGGTTAACCACTCTTTTTACCAATTTTAAATGTTATTATAGTCGTACCTACGATACGTGAGACGTTAACGTTATGAAGCATATGCAATCGTTAAATAAATAAATATTTTTTGTTAGAGTTCCTATTATGTTTTTTGTTATTTTACATTATTTGTAATTTGATATGTGCACTTTTTTAAATAATCTTTTATTTTATTTGTTATTTTCCCAACCAAACATTTTTGTTTTATTAATGTTAATAAAATAATAATTATTTTAATAACTATTTCATTTTTAAATTAAATTCTTTATTGCCGAACATTTACAGAGCAATTACAATGTAACTAAAACTACCTTTGTATGGTTTTACAACAATATCGACATTATAATGAAAAAATATTAATTCAATAAATCAGCTAATTTATTTTTATAGTACCTAAAATTTAGGCACCTGCTTTTTCACTTATACCAGCAGTGATAGCATGGTATCCCCGATATAATAGCCAATACTTATGTAAAATTGACCCCCAAATCCGAAAATACTGTCAAAATTTATAAAAGTAGAGCAGTTTTTAAGATATAGTCTGTAGCATGCACATTTTATGCTACGATTTTTAAGCAAAGCAAACCTTTGTTTTCAAATTTTTATATTAAATTCATAAAATATTTTGTTTGAACATTTTTATCGTGGAACGACACTTAATGGATTATTCTTAGATTATCTGCAAATAAAGTTAATAGTTAAGATTGTGCAATACAGAGCTGTAGGTACTTAGGGGAAGGTGGGGGAATTCTGCGCATCTATAGATATAAGCAAAATCTCTAGTATCTTTGTTAAGTTTAAATGTGAAATTTTGCAATTAATACCAGCGATAGTCTACTATGTTTACTATGTGTATATAATACGCAATTTATAAAAAGAATTTTTGGTATGCAAAAACTACATTTTTTTAAATAATGCATTTGCGCAAAATTACCCACCTATCAGGGTAATTGTGCGCATCATAGTGGGAAAATTTGCGCTGTATAGAGAAAGATTTGTAGGTATCTAAATAAACCGTTTATTTTTATAATATTATTATAATAAAACATAAAAATAAAACAAAACTATTTTCTCTATGAAACAAACAAAACAAACAAAATAAAAAATAAATAACTAAAAATAAAATTTTTCTTCTTAGAAATAAGAGGGTCTACATGCAGCATTTGTCACATATGTAGTTTTAGGGGTTTTTTTTTCGCTACACTCCGCGTGTTCCCAAATGGAACTGTTTATGCTGAACAATCTAGGCTCCTGTATACCAAAGCTCCTATATTGGCCAAATTTTGCAGCGCAAAATTACCCCAATTTTTCAGCGTAAAATTACCCCCATTGCAAGAAAAATATTGTGATACTAAAAAACTTTCCAAAAGTTAACCTGAACAATTTAAACATACACCAGATTACGAGGAAAGATCATATAAAGTTGTGTTATAAACATTTAAGCGATTGGACAGAAATTTAAACTTAACTCGTAGCGGAAACGACATGGATTTCTTAGATCAAAGTACATGTATCACAGTTAGCTAGTGACCATGGTCACTAGCTAAAAGCTACAAGCTTAATTGCGGTACACTTTAGTCCCCGTATACCCAAAGCAACGTTTCCAAGTTTGCAACATTCAAAAAATGTATTATTTACTTCATATCTGGAAGAATTGTTTATGCGTAAAATTACCCACGGCGCAAAATTCCCCCACCTTCCCCTACTAGGTTTCATATTCAATTAATTTTGCAATAATTAAATACTAATAATTTACAGTTAGTCGAGGGCACGATTAATAATTATTGACTGTTTTACTATTTGGCATCATTTGCGATTGTTGATATGACCCGGTCAACATTGTAACGTAACATTAACCAAAATGTTATGTAACGATTGTGATGTGTAACATTACAGTTACATAACCTGACGGTTGCAAATATATATATATATAGGTTCCTCCTCATTGAAGTAACATTATATAACAATGTTACATTGCCCTTATTTATATATATATATATATATACAGGGTGTCCTGAAATTAGTGCACCATACTTTAACAGCAGATTGTACGTGTAAAAATAAGAAAAAAAGTCCCTATATACATAGGTCAACAAATGCCTCTTAAGGGAGCTATAGCCCCCAAAAGGAAAGCCCCTGAAGATGGTTTTTATTTAATATCTCCAAAACCGTTAAAGATATAAAAGTGAAATTTGGGGAATTAATTAAACTTTTTATGACCAATAAGACGTAACAATAACAATTTTATGAGGTTTGGGTCAGATTGATAGGAAGTAGGGTTAAAACCATCTTAACTTTTTTGTACGTATCTTGTACCAGAATTTAGTGTCAGATTATGAAATTTTATAGTTTTGCACATAAAAAAGGTCATCTTGTTGAACTTCGATAACATACACCGTTTTCGCATAAAATCGATTTGAAAATTATTTTACATGGCATAAAAATTCACAATTAAATCACAACCATAGAAATGGACTCGTGTGGTCCTTGGAATGCGGCTGCCATGTTTAGGAAAAAATATAATAATTCAAGACAGGTGACATTTTCATGTAGTAAGTGACAGGGTGTTTCTACTTTTTTATTTATATTAGATAAAAACCATCTTCAGGGGCTCCCTTTTCGGGGGCTGTAGCTCCCTTAGGAGGCATTTCTCGACCTATATTTATAGGGACTTTTTTCTTATTTTTGCACGTAGAATCGGCTGTTAAAGTATGGTGCACTAATTTCAGGACACCCTGTATATACAGGGTGTTTCATAATATATGCGCAGGATTTCAGGATGTGATAGCTCATCCAAAAAGATGAAAAAAGTCGCTATTAACTTACCCTCTACCTTTTATTTTTATTACTAATTAAACAAAATTTATTTTAACGTTAGAAAAAGTAACAAAACCAAATGATAATTGCAAAATTAAAAAAAAAATAAAAAATGATTTTTTACTCAAATGCTGAAATGTGCGAAATGCGTTACCTTTACGGTTTGGAGAATTAAGCAAAGACAACTTTTAAATCATTTTTTATTTTGCAATTATGGTTTGGTTTTGTTACTTGTCCTAACGTTAAAATAAATTTTGTTTAATTAGTAAAAAAAAATTATTTTTTTTTAAATTGACCATGTTTTTAAACATAAAAGTTGATTTTTCTCGAAAACGGTCAACTTTAGAGCTTATGACCAGGAGTACCTTTTTTGTGTAGAAAACATTGGCGGTTTGAATGGGCCTCTCAAAACCGTACTTTTTTCAGGGGCGTTGAAGTTGAGGAGAAAAACACCCGCTACCCCTTCAAAATCTCCACCAATTATGAGGAAAAAAATTTTTTTCTAGCACAAAACATAGCTTATTTTGAGTAGAAAATGCTTACAAAAGCTGTTTTTTGTACGATAAACGGTTCCGGAGATATTCGAAAAAAACGAATTTTTTTCTAAAATTTCAACACCCCGTATCTCGAAAATTGTGCATTTTAGAGCGTAACTTAATAGCGACTTTTTTCTACTTTTTGGATGAGCTATCACATCCTGAAGTCCTACGCATATATTATGAAACACCCTGTATATGTAAAGAAAGTACATTGTACTTCTTTTTGAATTATTAATTAAGTGTAGATTAAGAGTGCACTGTTTAAATAAAGCAGGGAAAAGTTAACTGTCAGAAATTGTCAGAAACTAAACTATCGTTTTAGTTATTGTAGAAATTAATTAAAAAGTAATTAGGGAAATCGCATAGTGAATAATGGACATTTAATGTCGTTTTACAGGTAATATTTGTAACTTGTGTTTATAATTTGTAAATAATAAAATCAAATCTCTTTTTACAGGAGAAACTCAAATTTGTTATTATTCCTATCTTTGAACTAATCTACAATAAAAATTAAAGAATATTATAAAACGACATTATCGTTCTTTCAACTATGGATAAGCTGAGATTTGATTTTGCTCTAAAAGCGGCAGAAGATGGTAAAAGCAATAAAATGTTTCTTACCTCAATTGGAACTCAGTGTGACAGAAATTTTATAATTCCTGTAGAATACCAAACTATGGATTTACATAATGTACTGGGAAAAACACAAGCCTATAGTAGGGTTAAAAATACACTAAAAAAAAGGCATCAAAAAAGACAAGTATGGATTACTTTAAATGATGATTTAAAAAAGATCTATTTAGATGAAGAGGAAAATTTACTGTTTGGTGAATATTATTTGGAAGAGGTAGAGAAAGAAAGAATCCAAGAAGATAAAAATACTGAGGCCACTGAAGATTCCATGGCAAAATTACTAGAAAAATTGATGAACCAGCAGCAAAATTATGAATGTCAAAATTTACAAAAAGTTTCAGAAAGATTTATACTAGAAAAGTTTTCAACAAAAAGTTCAAATGCACAGCAATGGATACAACAATTTCAGAGTGAATGTCAACGCTTCGAAATAACTCAAGATAAAAAAATAATTGAAATTTTAAAACTATTTCTGGAAAAATCCTGCTTAGACTGGTATAGTAGCATGATGATTAAATTAACTATAAATTCAGATTGGAATAAATGAAAAAAAATATTTATTGAAACTTATGCAAATAAAGGTTGGAGCCAGATAAGATATGCACTGGCATTTAGATATGAAGCAGGATCACCTTTGGAATATGCTGTGAAAAAAGAAAGACTTTTGCTAGAGGAAAGAAAAACTATTGACACTGGTACACTCATAGATCTCATTGCTGCAGGTTTGCCAAACTTTATCGCAGATAAAATTGACAGAGATTCACTTCAAGAAACTGAAGATCTGTTCAATGAAATAGGAAAATTGGAGCATTTAACTGAGAGAAAAAGGATTGGTGAGAAAAAAAATGATATACAGGATAGAGAACAAAAATAAAAAAAACCCTTGTAAAATTTGTGAAAAGAATAACAGAGGTATACGGTATCACCCAGAAGATTTATGTTGGTTTAAGCTAAGGGATAATGAAAAAAAAATAAAAAAATAGAATTTGTTAACAATTCAGAGTTAGAGAATGTGTTAATGAAAGAGAATCCAAAAAACTAGATTTGACACCATTGATAAAAGTCAAAGTATTGCTCAATGACACTCTTGAAGTAAATGGTATTTATGATTCAGGTTCAAATGTATCCTTAATAAATTCAAGATTAGTAAAAATTAAAAAAGAATGGATTAACAATACTAATAACACAAATTTAAAAACAATCAATGGTGTCAGAAAAGTAGATGGATTAATTACTATAAAAACAAAAATCTTTGATATTGAAATCATTATGAATGTTTTTGTTATAAATAGTGAATATTTTAATCATGATTTCCTAATTGGTTTAGACTGCATAAAAAAATTTAAATTATGTCAAGATGAAAGATTAGAAATAAAACAAAGGATAAATCAAAATAGAATTGATGAAGATTTATTAAAAAAAAAATGGAAATTATGAAAATATTTACAATGATAAAATAAATAAAAATTTAAAAAAAGAAAATTCCACAATAAACTTCAATGAGCATATAGATGAAACTGATTTCAAAATTTTTATAAATCATTTAGAATCTAATAAAAAAAAGGTGATTGATAAACTTATAGAAGAAAATAAAATGACATTTGCAAAAGACAAATACGATGTAGGAACAGTAAAAAACTATGAAGCTCATATTGATTTATTAATAGAAAAATATCCCAGTAAAAGACCATACAGATGTACAATTGAAGATAAAAAAGAAATAGAACAACAAATTGCAAAACTATTGGAAAGACAAATGATTGAAGAATCGTATAGTCCATTTGCTGCTCCAGTAACTTTGGCATACAAACGAGAAGAAAACAAAAAATCGCGACTATGCATAGATTTTCGTGATTTAAATAAAATCGTGGTTCCTCAATCACAGCCATTTCCTTTAATAGAAGACCTTATGGAAAAAACTAGAGACTGTAAATACTTTTCTTTGTTAGATATAAATTCAGCATTTTGGTCGATACCTTTGAAAATAGAAGACAGAAAAAAAACAGGATTTGTTACTCAGGAAGGCCATTTTCAATGGACTTGTTTACCGTTTGGTTTGAAAACGTCACCAGCAATTTTCCAGAGAATATTGAGCAACATTATTAGGAAAAATAATTTATCAGAATTTACAGTGAACTATATTGATGATATATTAGTATTTTCAAAAACTTTTGATAAACATGTAAAACACCTGTCACAATTACTAGAAGCAATTAAAAATGAAGGGTTCAGGCTGAAGTTTTCAAAATGCACTTTTGCACAAGATTGGGTAAAGTATTTAGGACATATTATTAAAAATAACACTATACGCCCGCTAAAAGACAATCTAATTTCGATAAAAGAATTTCCTGTGCCAAAAACACAAAAAAATGTGAGGCAATTTTTAGGAAAAATAAATTTTTATAATAAATATGTGAAAAACAATGCTATTATTTTAGATCCACTACATAATCTTTTAAGGAAGAATGAACAATTTAAATAGACTGATGATTGTCAAGAATCATTTAACAAAATAAATGATTTGCTTTGTCGTCAACCAATTTTGGGATTTTTTGATCCAAAATTACTCATTAATATATACACAGATGCAAGTTTAAAAGGAGTCGGAGCAATTTTAAAACAACTGCAAACAAATGGAGAGGAAAACCCGATAGCATATTTTTCAAAAAAATTGAATGATGCAAAAAAAAAAGAAAGCTATTTATTTAGAATGCCTAGCCATTAAAGAAGCTGTAAAATATTGGCAATACCGTCTCTTAGGGAGAAAATTTACAGTTTTTTCTAATCATAAACCGTTGGAGAATATGAATATAAGATCTAGAACTGATGAAGAACTGGAAGATTTGACATATTATTTGTCTCAATACGACTTTAAAATAAAATACTCTCCAGGTAAATATAATCTTGAAGCGGATTGTTTGAGCAGGAATCCGGTCTTAGAAGCAGACGCTAATGAAGATGAGCAACTGAAAATCGTAAATCTTATAAATTTAGAAGAAATTGTGAAAGATCAAGAAAAAAATAAAAAATTACAATTTGAAAAAAAAATAATTAAAAAGGACGAAATTTACTACAAAAAAATAAAAAATAAAGAAAAAATTATTTTGTCAGAAGAAAAAAGCGTAGAATTTATAAAAAGAATACATGAACATTACTGCCATATTGGCATACAACAAATGAAGAATAAAATTAGTCCTTATTATACAAGCAAAAATCTAATACTTAAGATAAAGAAAATATGTCAAAATTGCATAACATGCAAAAAAAATAAGACTAGAGGACAAGAAAAGTATGGCTTGTTATCTCATTTGGGACCGGCTGAAGAACCATTTGAAATCATTTCAATGGACACAATTGGAGGATTTGGTGGAACAAGATCAACAAAAAGATATCTGCATTTACTAGTTGATCACTTTACGAGATACGCCTGGATATCAAAAACTCAAAGTGCCAATGATTTTATTAATTTAGTGGAAAAAGCTACAAGACATAATAAAATCGGTATGGCACTATCAGATCAATACCCAGGTATAAACTCGAAAGAGTTTAAAAAGTATTTAGAAGGGAAAAATATTCCTATAGTATTTACTGCAGTAGATTCACCCTTCTCGAATGCGAAAGATTGAACCAAACACTGGTTAATAGGATAAGATGTAAAATTAACGAAAAAGGAGAAAAAAAAAAGCATGGACAACCATAGCTCAGGAGTGCATAAAAAGGTACAATGAAACAGAAAATACAGTTACTGGTTTCACACCTAAATATTTGCTTGAAGGTGAGGACACAACTTTATTACCAGATGAATTAAAAACAAAAAAAAACGCAAAGTGATCTTCGAAGAGATAGAAAAATTGCTCTTCAAAATACTATAAAATCACATAATTACAACAAGAAAATTTTTGATAAAAACAGAAAATGTTTTAGTTTTAATGTAGATGACATGGTTTTTTTAGAAAACGGAAATAAATTAAACAGGAAAAAACTAGATGAGTTGAGAATTGGCCCTTATAGGATTTTAGAAAAAATATCAAACTCTATATTTAAAGTAGACACCGGACACAAAAAACTAGAATCAAATTTATTTCACCAAACAAAACTAATTCCGGCTCCCACAATAAATGACTAAGAAGACAGATTGGTGAACTTAAGAAAATTTTGTAGAAAATTTTGTCCCCAGAAAGGGAGATGTAAAGAAAGTACATTGAACTTCTTTTTGAATTATTAATTAAGTGTAGATTAAGAGTGCACTGTTTAAATAAAGCAGGGAAAAGTTAACTGTCAGAAATTGTCAGAAACTAAACTATCGTTTTAGTTATTGTAGAAATTAATTAAAAAGTAATTAGGGAAATCGCATAGTGAATAATGGACATTTAATGTCGTTTCTCTTTTTACAGGTAATATTTGTAACTTGTGTTTATAATTTGTAAATAATAAAATCAAATCTCTTTTTACAGGAGAAACTCAAATTTGTTATTATTCCTATCTTTGAACTAATCTACAAGATACAGATAGCAGAGAGACGTGAATAAAACGTCATAATTTTGTCAAAATTTACGTCATTCTTGCCAAAAATTAACGTCGATGTGACGAAATTATGACGTGAATATGTCACAGCCCACATACGTCATTTCAGGACGTCGATAGACTTAATTTTACGACGTCGACGACGTGTTTTCACAACGTCACTGAACGTCATAATATTACCAATTTAAGACCTCTTTCAGAAATGGAAACTGCATGCGAGATTTACAATAAAATCATACATTTAAATGTATGTATTTGTTGTATCTTGGATACGCATATCTGGCATACAGTATTCCCATCTGACAGAGGTGTAAGACGTCAAACATATACTAATAAGTGACGTCTTATTCAATTGAAATAAATTATTAATAAAAAACATATTTATTGTTTATAACATTTATTATAAAATTTTAAAAAAATTTACAATTACTGTTTAAAATTAAAACTTTTTCTTATGTTATAAAAATTCAAACATACAATATTTCTTTGGTAATAAAAAAAATTAATATAAAGTTTAAAAATTATTTAAACTTATCGTTTATCTATTTTAATTTGTAAACATGGACAAACATTAAAAAAAAATATTAATTTACACAGCAGTATACTGCTTATAAGCAGTATATAAATATGCATTAAAGGAGCAGCGGTCATGTAATCTCCACTGATTTGTAGATTTAAATGGTGACCAAAAAACATATTGTTTCCTAGGAGTAAGCCAAGTGTGGTGCACAATTTATATGCCACCACCCACTTCTTCCTTAAATTCTAGTTCTAGAATTTTAGTAAAACCTAATTACAAAATTAAATAGCTGAAAAGTAAAAAACGTGCAAAACCATAACCCAAACTACTAAAAGCATTCAGCATAAATTTCTTTTTATACATCTTAATTTCGTTTACATATTATAACAGTCGTTATTTTAATTAGTTACTTGCACTTAAGTTTGTATATATCCACTGGATATTACCCAGCAAAAATTCTTTAACTGTGCATTAATAATTATTATTTATTTTCTAAACCTTAAATGGCGCACAAAAACTCACAACTAACAAACAGGACGCGAATAACGTTGAACCGTTGAACTTGAGCGCAGTGTTGCCAGATAAATTACAAAATACCCGATTTTACTGCAAAAGTAAAAAAATAGTTATCCTGATAAATTTTATAGCGCATTTACCCTATTCTAAATTAAATTTTGAATTAGGCAATCAAAAAGAATTATAACATGCATGATAGAGTACAATAATTATGTATATTTAGTAAAAAGGTATACCTATGTATATTAGGGTGATGCAAAAAAAATTTTTTTT